AGCCTGTGTGGGTGATGTGGATGCGGGGTGAGCAGGAGCAGCCAGGCACTCAGCGAGGTGATGTCCTGCCCAATGCTGATGGGACCTGGTATCTCCGAGTGACCCTGAATGTGGTGGCAGGCGAGGCATCTGGCCTGGCTTGCTGGGTAAAGCACAGCAGTCTAGGAGGCCAGGACATCGTGCTGTTCTGGGGTGAGAAGGAACTGGGATCAAGGGTGGAAATGGGAGCAAGAGGTCCTCAGGTAGAGCAGGCTGCCCAGCTGAAACATATCTGTTTTTAGGGTTACTAGATCCAAAAGGAAGAAAAGTAGTTAATGCAAAGAATACAAGCGTTGATAATGAGGGAACTGTAGATGCAGGTGGATATTGAAATGAAAGCTTCCTGTCTGAGGCAGGATGAGAGAAGAAATGGAAGGAGATGACATTGATGAGTTAGACACTGAAATGAGCCTTAACAGCACAGGGAAATGCAATAAAACAGGGAGTGAATGGGGTAAAATGGGGTGAATTTGAAATAACATCCTTGATGTCCACCCGAATCCACAGAACATCACACCTCTGTGGGACTGATCATCTTGGCCGTAATAGTGCTTTTGGCTCTTCTGACAGTTGTTGCATTTTGGGTATGGAAGTGCTGGTGAGTTCTTCGTGTCCATCTTTCCTGCTTTTCCCTCCTACCCCACTTGTCTTCCCATCCTTTTTCGTTCATCTCTGCTCTCAGTCCCCCTCCCTCTCACTTCTCAATTCTCACCTCCACCTTATGCCAATTGACTCCAACTTTGTTCTCATACACTTTATTATAGGACACAATGTTCGCCTACTCAACATGCTTCTCTCCTTGAATGAGGACCCAGAGGCTCAAGAGCTTGGGACACACCTGAACACACCATGATGATGATGTCCTTTCAACTCTCCTTGTAAAACTTTTGATGATGTTTTTATATCTGCTTAATAATCAATTATCATTATAAGCTAAATGTAATTTTTCAGGCTTTGTTGTTCTGACTTGTATTCTGGTATTGACATTTACATTTTAACCCTGAATGTAATGGAGTCCTAGCAACCTCAACATGGTCAAATATTAATGGATCATCAGGTCCATCTCTGATGTGACTTCCTCCAGAGGGCCTTCCTTGATTTGCAAGTGGCAAACAGTTACTCCCTCATCTGAACTCCCACCACATTTCAACTGTACTGTGCGTGTACTCCCTCCCTATCCTTCATGGCAGTTATTTAGGTCCCTTTTCATATAATAACGTTCCAGTTCTTTGAGAGCAAAGTACATATCTTTATAATATATGCATCCCTGTCAAAATGTCTTCTCTGCATGTAACAGGTTCTCAATAAAATCTGTGTTGAATTTATGTCAAAATTGTAGCCTTTTCTTATTCTCTTCCTTCCTGACACCTTTGTAGTAGTTGAGACGTTTGATGCTCTTCTCGTTAAAAGTCTTGTCACTTGACCAAGAGACTTCACACTTTCCTAGTGTGAAGTCTTTGATCCCCTGAAAAGTAACACTAATTTGCCTCATCACTCTTATCACCCAACTATAGAGTGTTATTAGAGTAAAACTATTATTCCAAGTATTTGAAACAAAAAGAGCAAGGTAGGATGTACGCCCTTGCTTATCAGTGTGGTTCAGCTACAAATAGCAGAATGATCTCGTTGCAGCTTGTTAGTAACATAGAATCTGGAGCTTCACCTCAGACTTACTGAATTATGATTTGCATTTGAGGAAAATCATCAGCAGGAGATTCAGGAGTACATTGAAATTTGAGAGGCAATGATGTAGAGATGCCTGAGGTGTAGTAAAGTGTGCCACGAGTAGAAAATGGTCTAGTAATGGGAACAAGAGTGTTGCTCCTCAGGGTTGAAGTAGGATCAGGGCAGGTAATGTACAGACGTCCATTCTCAATCTTCCTGGCTGTTATGTCGTATGAAGTTTCTGTGAAGTCTGAATTAGTGCCTAATGGGCCAATGATCCTAAGGGAAATGCAGTGTTATGTTCTCGTGGGATTCTTTGTCAATATTTTTATAAACTTTTGAATGTATTGAGCTTGTTTTATGTGTGTTTTAGTTTCATAACATCTTATTTAATATACACATTTACAAATCATTCACTATATGTTGTATTTCTTTATAGTAAAACACTAGCTGAGAAGTATTTAATATTTTACTTACTTGGGTTAAAATGATCATATATTTCTTTGGCTTTCAGCTTCACAAAAGTTTTGTACAGTATACTTAAAATAAAATCTGTTGTTATTTCTCAAAACCACAAATTTAGCTACTTTTCCATAGCTTAATCATAGTATTGCAGATGTTTCTTTCAAAGGAGCCTCACCCACATTTGGGGGAATTTCCAGTTCCTTTTTCTGGATGTGTGATATTGTTGATTCATTAACACTGAACTCAGCCGGCAGCACTATAAATACAAGGAAGCTCATCTAACTGATATGATTTCTCCATAAGACACGTCACAGAATTCTTGTGTTTAGGAACATTAGATAGCTCTTTGGCAATATGCTTTGGGGACATTTGAAGCAATAAAATCTCTGACAAGGAGCACAAAAATGTGAAAAATGTGGCACTAAGTAGTCCACAAAAAGGACACTTATTTACAGAGTGAGAACTGAAACAAGAAGGCAGAGCATCACCATATTCCATCTTACGTGAAAACCCATCCTTTGCGTGATTCAAATTTTGCACCTCACTGCCAATATGCACAAATGACTGTGAAACTGTTGAGTATTAATTTTGGGATTACAAATAAATTTTAGCAAGTAGATGAATTAGAAAATAC